TAAAGATTAAGGGAAAACAGTAGGTCAGTTAGGAAGTATGTTTCAGGAGATTGTGATAGCATATTCACGTTAAAATCGCTGGTGATGATAATATTATTTTAATGGGAAATCAGGTTGACAAAGGAGGATTCAAAGAAGTTTTCGGATGGAACACGAGGAGGGCAGCAAACTACGTCAAATAACAGAGGAGAGGTAATATAGAAAATTTCAACGAACATTTATGAGAAGTCATGAAAAGGAGACTGTAGGAGGATTTTCTCCTTAAGACTGTCATGGATATACAATCCAAAACCACCTCCCGTGCGATTAGATCTGTTATGGCGTAGAAAAGAATAATTGGGTAGAGAAATCTGGGAAGAAGCGATAAAAGGTTTTAGCCAGGTTTCAGATACTGCTATTATGTGATAAAAATTGTCAAGAAAATATTTCTGAAATTCATCGTAGTATGCAGTAAGGGAGTGTGCATTGATGTGACAAGAATTTAAGATATTAGTCTGAAAAGTTGAGAAGTAGAATATTGAAAAAAATGATCGAGGATGAAGGATAGGATACAGCATTTCTGTTGTAACTTGAAATATTAAGTTTAGAAATAACAAAAACAAGACAAAAATAAAATAAACTTTGAAGTGAACAAAATAAATTTCCAGTATTACAAAATAAATATTCATTTAAGATTAATTTATAACCTAAGACCAGAGATGTGCATATTTACATTCAAAAATATAAATACGAATATATTCGTATTCATAAAAAGTAATGTGAATACAAAAGATACGTATTCACGACTGTAAATATAAATACGGCCGTATTTACGACTGTAAAAGTGAATACGGCAGTATTCACGTTTACTAAAATGAATACGCTTAAATTTACAGAAGTGAATGGAAATATTTTCACAAAATCTTATTAATGAATACTCTTATTTATTAAAAAAAAAAATGTATTTATTAAATTATTCCAATATTCTCACCCACTCGGAATTTTTATTGGGGGGGAAGGAGAGAGGCGATGCCCGAAGAATATAATACTATATATAAAAATAAAATGGTTTATATAGAAATTTTTATTAAATAAATAATTTAATAAATACATTTTTTTTTTATAAATAAGAGTATTCATTAATAAGATTGTGTGAAAATATTTGCATTCACTTCCGTAAATTTAAGCGTATTCATTTTAATAAACGTTAATAATGCCGTATTCACTGATAATTAAAATAACATAATACCTTGTAACATAATTAAAATAACATATTGTAAAAGGATGAATATAATACTATATATAAAATAAAATGATATATATAGTAAATATATTTTTTTAAATAAATAATTTAATAAATACATTTTTTTTAATGAATAAGATTATTCATTAATAAGTTTGTGTGAAAATATTTGCATTCACTTCTGTAAATTTAAGCGTATTCATTTTAATAAACATGAATAGTGCCGTATTCACTTTTACTAGTATAAATACAAAGGCTCAAGAATTTATTTTATGTACAAACATTACAAAGGATAATTAATATAATATAATACATTGTAACATAATTAGCATAACATATTGTAAAAGGAAGAATATAATACTATATATAAAAATAAAATGATATATATATTAAATATATTTTTTAAATAAATAAATTTTTTAAAATAAATAAGTGTATTCATTAATAAGGTTGTACGAAAATATTTCCATTCACTTCTGTAAATTTAAGCGTATTCATTTTAGTAAACGTGAATACTGCCGTATACAATTTTACAGGTGTAAATACAGCCGTATTCACTTTTACAGTCGTAAATACGGCCGTATTTATATTTACAGTCGTGAATACGTATCTTCTGTATTCATATTACTTTTTATGAATACGAATATATTCGTATTTATATTCATTTGTACCATAAATATAAATGGTATTCGTATTTATATTTTTGAATATAAATATGCCCATCTCTGCCTAAAAGACAATATGAATATCCCCTTGTTTTAGGTAAATTGATAAAGATTAGCAAACAATCAAAAATAATTTATACAAGAATAAAAAAAAAAATGAAAATAAAAATATTTCCGATGAGAAAAAATGTATACAAAAGTATAAAAATGAAAAAAAAACTGAAGATAAAAAAAAAAAAAATAAATATTTCTGGCAAGAGAAAATAAATTGAATTCCAACTCAGGGTAACTTATGTAGAGCGTTCAGCTGAAAACGTTAAGATCACTTGGTTTTTCTATAATTACTACTGGATATCCATCTTATTGTCTGCAACAAATTTTACCCCCACTAAACCAGACATATTTTATTTTTGCAGTCACCCTCTTCTGCCTGGCTAACCGATAGAGGTGTTTATTGGTGGGCGTCATGGCTTCACTCACGTAGACGCGGTGCGAGTCGTTCTCTTCCCAGCCTAGATGGCGTGTATAGAAATCTCTTTAAGCTCTTTGCTGCCACACCAGGTGTCCCAAGCAAATGATTTCGTCGACATACTGCAACACCACCTCATTGATTCTTATTTCTTTCTTTGTACTATTCGTCATCAGTACTGTTTTAGAATAGTTTGGAACCAGACCTACTCCTGCACTATAGATTAGGAGACTTTTTATATTTTTATATTTCTCATCTCATCAACATTATTCGAAATCAATACTATGTCATCAACAAATTTTAGATGCCTCAGCTTCCTCCCATTAATGTTGCAACCTTTTTTGCTCCAATCCATTTTTCCAAACACTTTCTCCAAAAGTGCTATAAACAAAGATGGGTATAGCGGGTCTCCCTGCCTTCCTCCTCTACTTATATGAAATTTCGGTCCCTCCCTTCTTCTCCATGTCAATATAACCTATATTCCCAGAATACAAACTTCCTATGATTGATATACCAATATTGATATTGATATATGCCAAATGATCCGCTGAATGTCGCAGAGGTACTTAGTGAGCGGCAAAATGAAGCTCTACGCCCCGATGATAAAGTTTGTCTGATATGCGGGCCCTTCTTTTAAGGGCGAACGAGGTCTCGGAACCCACATTGCAAAAAAACATCCCAGGGAGGCGAATAACAATACATTGAGGGGCATAGTAAAGAACGTGATAGGTCCTAGAAATGGAGAGGGTGAGTCATCAAAAATAAAAGAGGACATTGTTGGATGGTCTACTACGTTCAAGAACCTTTTAAAGCAAAATATGGTAAATACTGCGGATTTTGATGAGGCTGTAGGCAAGTTTCTCAAAGTTATAAATGCGGAACTGCCAGGTCCCCAGCACCCAGCCGTAAAATTTTATAGGATGAGGAAGAAAAAAATGATAATGGCTGACAAGGGTGCTGGACAAGTTTCAAATCCGCAGAGAGGGCAAAGTAAACAGGAGTCGTCGGCAAGAGCAGTATCAGTATGAGATTGCTCAATATAATTATTACAATAAAAGAAAAAAGGTTGTGCAAACTGTAATGAATGCCGACGCTCCTAAACGGTGTCCTCTAAAAATGGCCGAAATCGAGAGGCATTATAAAGACCTCTTTGAAAGCGAAAATCTCTGCGGGAGTGCGGATTATGAACAGTGTGTCCCGATGCCAAATTTGCTGTCCATTGAGATAGAAGCTGTCAAGAAAGCCATTAAGTCAACATCAATGGACACATCGCCGGGGCCTTATGGAGTTTTGCTCCGCACAATCAAATATTTTGACGTTTCAAACACTATCAAAACGATTGCAGATATAATGCTGAAGGTGGCCTATGACCACTTTGACAAGGGCGCACAATATTAATATATAAGGGCAAAGGTGATATAAACAATATCTCTACCTGGAGACCGATCACCATATATTCGATTGTGCGCCGAATCATAGAGAAGGTTCTGGACCACGAATTAAGAAAGCAGGTCACCTTCCACAAGAGTCAGAGAGGCTTTATAAAAGGCCTCCCGGGAACGCACGTCAACGCGAGGATTATCGACGCGGTATTAAAAGATGCACAAAAAATGAAAAATGACTGCTGACTCCAAAAAAAGTGCGATAGTTTTCCTCTAGGTTGTCGGTGCTTTTGACAATGTTGGCCACAAACACATCGTAAGCTCCTTAGAAGCGAGAGGTGTGTCACCGAATCTTACAAATGTCATATCAGCTCTCCTTAGCACGAACACAGTAAAGATTAGTAACGGTGTCCATGCAACTAGCCAGATCAAAGTGCTGCGCGGTGTACCCCAAGGCGGCCCCCTGTCGTCTTCACTCTTCAACCTGGCAATCGATCATCTCTACCGCGACCTGTGCGATGAGGACTTTTCCAAGAAATTTGGATAGAAATTAAGGAATGAGCAGGATTGTGTGGTCCTCACAGGTTTCGCGGATGACCAGGCTGTGTCGGCGCGAGACAAGGGGGCTGCAGAAAGAGTGATTGACAGCATACAGAGGACATTTAAAGAAATTGGTCTGGCTATAAATCCTCAAAAAAGTATGGGCATCGTTATAAATAAAGGAGAGCTGGAAACTACGGTGCTCTCCCTTGAGAATGGTGAGTACATCCGAACATTGAAGAATGGAGATACGATTAAGTATTTAGGATGTACATTCTCGGGAGAGCTACAATTCAACGAAGATTCGGTGACTAAATTGAATGATAATTTAAACAAGCTGGTAACCTCTTGCTTACTTAAACCTGAGCAGAAACTCAACATTGTCTATCAATATCTGTTCCCGGGTCTTACGGTCTCGAGGTTCAGCTTCAAATACCTTACCTCTCTTATTAAGAGTCTCCTGAAGAACAGCAATGTCTGTTTTGTTCAGTATTGCCATATGTCCATCCTCCTATCACTAGCAGTCTCCTATTAAGTTTCACTGTGCTATCCTGGTGGTAGTACTATTGATCATTGTTGTGATACTTGATTTTCATTGCTAGCCTCTCAAGGGTTCCTTTTTCCCCAACATCTCACTAGCTTCCTTTTTTCAGATGTGCAGTCCTTATCATCAGTTGGATGCTCAGACACTAGGTTTCTTAAAGATATTTTTCATTTTTTAGATAAAATCAACCTCAACTGGATCCAGTCTTGTGAAAACTAGTCAAAAGAAGGAAAATAGTTCATCAAAACTTGAATTAAAACAATGGAAAGACAAACTAAAGTGTATTAAACCAAATGAATGTTTAAAGGTATTCTTATTTATATGAAAAGAAAGGTTTGACATTTTTCTATCAAATATTGTTTAATATTTTGTTTCTTTTAGTATATATCAGTGGTGATACCAGAACACTTCTCAGTTGATGTTGTATTTAAAGATGTTTTAAATACTTTAGAGAAAAGTGGATTCAAATATGAAGTTACTGATTCAGATGAAACTGCTGTTACTTGGAATTGGAAAGGGGTAAATATTAAATTTGTCTCTAAAATTTCTGGTCTATTGTACTGGTTGCGGCAATGTAACTTCCTTATTTAATATTACTATAAAATAAAAAGTAGTGAAGATATCTTTTTATTTATTTTTTAAATATAAAAGTTACATATTTAGAATTGTGATTTGGGAGTTACAATTTTCAGTTTCCAATATCTAGGAAATCATTTAGAGAAGAATCACGATGACGAAAAAGAAATTAAGGTGAGGATTGCATTAGATAAAGAATATTTTGTAATTTCAAAGCTCTGAAAAAGCTAACATCTCAGTCAGAAATTGAAACTAATGTTATAGATTAGAATAGAAAAAGCAAATTTATACAGGGACTAAGAATAACAATGATACACTGATAAATAAGGATTAAAAATGAAGGAGATGGTCCGGGGTGGCCGTCATAAATAGGCTAAATAATGGAAAAACTATTTTATTAAAAGCTCTTGGCTTTTAACGCCACCTCAACTATTAAATAGATAGATAGATAGTTTATTTTATTTGTCTAAGGAAATTCCTTTACAAATAAATATAATGGTATAATTCACAATGTTAGATCTTGAGTCTAGTACTGCATTCAAACATAACATTAACAATGTCCACAGCATTAAGTATGACTAACATAATATAATATAATAACTGATTAGTAAACGATATATATACATAACAATTAGTAAAACATTTTTTTTTTATTTTATTTATTATTATTATTATTATTATTTTTATATTGTTTAAATATTCGAGAGGTATAAGACAAATGACAATATAAATAAGCATTAATATATGTTATATGATTAACTTTACCACTTAACAGTTCAATGAACAGCCCTGTATGAAATAATACAGTTGGTTTAGTTTTTTCGTAGTGTCTATTTTCAGTATCTCCTCCACACTAGCATCTTCTCTGGATTCAGTGATAAATGCCTTCAAGTACTTATTTCTTGGCTCATTGAACTTGATACATTGGATCAGAAAATGAGTTACCGGGTCAGTTACAAGGCAGTTGCATGCACCACATACCTCACTGGATTTAATAGTCAAAGTAGCATCTTTTAAGTATATTTTCATAAAATCTATACTTGCTACTCTGAGACGACTAACGGCTCTTAATTTGTTTAAATTCAGAGCCCTGAACTGAAGATAATCCTCTGGTCTGGTAACATTAAAGGAGCAGATTTTTCTATATCTTGGGTTTGATTTAGAGTTTAACACTCTGTCGATGTCCTTGGATGAGTGATGGTTTCTTATTTTTTCCATGATTTCGTCTTTGAACCTCATCAGACCTAGAGAGAAAACACAAGAAAACATCCCCTGACATCCGAGTTCCGCCACAATCATCTTTACTTGGGTAACCCAGTTATAAGTTGGATCAGGTTTTCCAATTAATGAGTCTAGAGCTCTAAGCCTATTAAAGCATTGTCTAGGTAGTCTTTCGTCACTCATTAAGCTTAGCTTTGTCCAATAGTTGATCACTTTTTTCAACACTTCAACACTTAATGGAGATCTCCCACTTTCAAGGCAAGCCACATAGTTCGGTGTATTTCTTGGCCAATGGAGCAATGATTTGATAAATCGAACTTGCGTCCTCTCCAAAACCTCCAAGTATCTCGTCCCCCAGATCTCTGCAGCATAGAGCAGTGTTGACGAGACCATCGAGTCAAAGAGGCTGGTTTTTATCTCCCAAGAGTCGCTTTTTCCATTTCTTAGGATTGCCATCACTTTGGTCGCTGCAGCAGATGATCTATGTAAGAAATGCTCCGCGGCTCTCTCAAATTTTCCAGAAGAAGAAAATGGTACACCCAGATATGTATAGTTTCTGGTATACTCCAAACTTGTATCCCGGCAAGCCAAAGTCTTAAGTTTCTTCATCCTTGGAGATTTATGGAACACCAACACCTTAGACTTAGATGGATTTAGGGTCAAAGATTTGCTTTTACAGTATTCACTCAGTATATTGATGTTTCTTTGTGCACCATGCCACGAATTACTCAATATCATCAGGAGCACAATATCATCCGCTAACAGAAGCATAACTACTTCATGGTTGTGGTCTATACTTATACCAACAGCTCCTCGGTCACGGAAGTACTCAACTATATCCGACACAAACAGGATAAACAATGCAGGACTAAGACTGTCCCCCTGAAGCAGGCCCAGACTGATACCAATCTTTTCTGACAGCTCATGTTTCAACTTTATCCGCATCGATGAAGCATCATATAGTTTCTTGAGAAGCCTAATTAGTTTTCCCCCCATTCCAAGAGAAAAAAGCCTTTCCCACAACACATTTTGGTTGATAGAGTCGAAGGCCTTCCTAAGGTCGACAAACACTGCTTAAACATAGCTGCCCTTTGACCTCAAATTAATGTTGACAACTGACATCAATGTGAATATGTGATCAATGCATCCCTTGCCCGTTCTAAAACCAGCCTGTTCCTCCGGTATTAATTTTTCTAATTCAGCCCATTTCATGATTCTGTTCCTTAGAATGCTAGTGAATAACTTTGCTAGAGTATTAAGCAAGGATATGCCTCTGTAGTTGTTTGGATCCTTTTTATCACCTTTCTTATACAGAAGATGCAAGTTAGATTCGGCCCACATTCCTGGAATTTGTTCAGAATTCAATACGTTATTAAATAAATTTAATATGTAGTGCTCCCAAGAGGGGTTGAGACATTTAACAACTTCATAAGTTATATTATCAGGTCCTGGAGATTTATATTTTTTACAGGTACCTATGCTTTGTTGCAGTTCTTCCAATGATATATTGATATCCAGGAGTGGATGAGTTACGGAGAAAAAGTATGTTTCATGTATCGTTTTTTGGCCGTATAGATTCATGTAATATTGAAACCAATCGTTCAAACTTATTTCGTTATTTTGATTGTGAAATGGTGTTAACATATTCACCGTCTTCCAAAACTCTCCACTGTTTTTTACTGTTCTCAAATTTGTAATTACTGATGCTCTAAACTCCGTTTTTTTCCTTTTTATTAGTTTTCTATATTCATCTCGGGCTTGAAGGTAGTCTCTGATAAATCCTGTCAATAAACTGTTCTTTTACATTATTCTTTGCAAGTTCTTGAGATTTCGTTTACCTCTCCTGCATTCCTGATCAAACCATTTGTGCTTAGGTTGCGAAGTGGTATTCACGGTCATCTTCCTCGTAAATATCAAAGCTGACTCCAACAAGTTCTCCTGCATTGCCTGTTTAAAGTTATCATACAGCTGGTTCACATCTTCAGAATAGAAATAAATCTTTTCAGAGTTGGAAATATTATCACAAAATAAATTAATTTTGTCTTCATCCCACGGTGAATATTTGATAACTAAGTACTCAACTATTAAATATTCAACATAAATAAAGATTATTTCTATCCATAAGACCTATTACGTGGTTCCTCCTGATCTCCTATTCTTTTATCCATCTGTATCAATGATCATCCCTCCTTTATCCAGCACTGTCCATATCATCTGTAAGCAGGCGATATCCAAATTAATCTTTCTTTCTATTCCACTGATAGCATCCTAAATCTCCAGGAAGATATCGACTAAATATGTGCTTGGGCAAACCTCAATAACCTTACTCTGAATGCTGACAAGAAAGCCATCTTGATTAGATACCCTCACTCTTCAAATCTATTTCTGTACCTCCCAATCTTGTTCTGAACAACTCACCTATTTCATTCCATACTTCTGTTAAAAATCTTGGTATTACTCAGGATCAAATGCTCTCCTAGAAACCGCATATCTTTTGAATTTCCCATCATACTATTTATACCTTGATACAGTTTAACCATCTACACTATCTCCTTCCATTCAAATCCTGTGACCTCCTAGTTTCCTCCCTTGTTTTCCCCCACTTTGACCATCGTTATATGGTGTTTGCCGGACTCTCAGAAGAAATCAAAACGAAAACTAATCACCAAATGAATTCCTCAATATGTTTTGTCTTCGGGATGTATTGTATGTCAAGAGATATGCATTTCGCCCAGTACTAAGCTTAGTCAAAGTGACTCTACTCCTACTGCCATCAGTACTACCTTGCTATCTTCCTATATCAGGCAATTAGAGCTCAGCAACCCTCTTATATTTTACAGAGCCTACATTTAAATCCTCTATTCAATTCTGTCCCCAACCTCTATCCTCTTCCTCACCGAACTGCTACATTTGAGAAATCTATAAAATTTAAGCTGTCTCCCTCTGGAGTTCTATTCCTTCCGATATTGGACATGCATAATCAGTTTCCTCTTTCAAATTTCTCCTCTTTAAGTACCTATTCCAATTCCAATCCAGTTGATCACCTAATGCACATAAGAGAACTCCCGAAGTATCCCCTGAAACTATTTTGTTATTTATGTTTTCTGTTTGTTTTATTTATGTATATGTTAGACAGAGCTGAGGCTGTCGGGGTGTCCCTGGCTTGAGGTATCAAGACTCAATTTTAGAAATACTGAAGAAAATTCCATTAGTATAAAAAGGAAAAACGGGATCGAAACGTTGAATAAACACTAAAATCAATGAATAATTTGTAGTTTATTGAATTATAGATAATTTGATGAACTTATTCCCAATTAAAATAATTATTTAAAAATATATATATATATATATATATATAACTTAAGATATGAATTATAGTCAGATAATAGGTCATGAAATACACTTAAATAACTTAATACAACTTCTGTTTATTCCTTTTATTCAAAAGAGTTTCGATCCCTATTTTTTAACCTAAATAATGGGATCCTCTTCAGTTTTTTGATTGAGCATCAATACCTCAAGCCGGGCAGCACACTGACAGACCCAACAGTAACACCACAAGGACATCAAGCTGCTCTCTGAAAAGCTAATCAGTAGCTTGATGTCCTTGTGGCGGTACTGTTGGGTCTGTTAGCGTGCTGCCCGGCTTGGGGTATCGATGCTCAATTAAAAAACTGAAAAGGATCCCATTATTTATGTTAAAAACAGAGATCAAAACGTTT